GTAGCGAGTTAACAATTCTGATAAAAAGCTTCCGCGAGTTATATCTACGATTTGATTGGAATTGAATACAATTCAATTATTTTTATTCACGCCTGCGAGTATATGAGTCATAGTTGTGACAGCATTCTTCCTATTTATATTCCATACGCGTTTCTTATTAATTCGTGGACGATATCTTGTTCTTTTTATCTTTTATAGCTTTAAATTGAGACCATAACGTAGTTTACCCAGTTATGATGCAATTTTGTTCTTGTACTTCGAACCTGTGATCATGAATATTATTATTATGAACATATATTGTCTGATGATATCATGTTGATTCACGTTTTCCTTTATCACACATGTTATATATCTATATCTAGTATATTGGATTCTAGGATCGACTGCTTAAAGGGCTTCATTATGAGAAAAATCTATATAAGTTTCATACCTTAGTCTGCTAAAGGCGTGAAGCAATTGCAGACCTGCAATAGAAAGATATACATTATATACATATACACGTATAACATTCCCTAAAAAGCTATGTTGTGACATGAAATTAGGGTCTCTCTGATGCGGCTTTCAAGTCCATAGCCTACACGTTAGAATACTGGGATGAGAGATAGTAGAATGATAGAGAGAGAAGGACGTGTGTGTACGTATGTGCATGCGTCTGTGCGTGCGCGTGTGTGTATGTATATGCGCAAGTGCGTGTGCATGTGCGTGTATGTGTGTGCACGTGTGTGTACGTGCGAAATCATCTTCCACATCAACTCTAAAGGATCTTTCACGATTTAGTTTTATGTTCGCTTCGCTTGTGTGTTTAATGTGTTTATTCGCTTATTCGCTATAAAGCGGTGTGTAGAACAACAACGATCCGTCTAAATCTCTCTTTAGCATTAGCTCTTAGCTACCACTCTTTACACGGCCTGCTCGGATACATTAACCGATCCTGTTTTTTACGCTAGGTTTATACCAACCTCGTAAATTATGTGTGGCAAGAAAACGGAGAAATACTAATACCTCGTGCCCCATTCCTTGGAGTTTGGAATTGTTAAAGGAATACATACAGAAACTTCCGTGGAGATGGAAGATGGAAATATGCATTTTACCAGGTTGCTGTCATGTATCATATATATTATATAGCTCTTGTAACATATTTAACACATTACAGTTTAATTTCATTATTAGTTCATGCTGTATTCCTAATTCTACCAAGCTTTATCTTGCAGTATATTTATATAGCAGTATTGTCCAGTATATTTTGACTATGTGGAGGGTCTGGACGTAGATATGCCGGCTATGCAAAATACTCGCATGAATTGTTCAACCAACAAATACCGGATAGTTTCGTCACCTCGGGGTAGGTGAGAGAATGCATGCAGCATGCAGCTTACCGCCCGAAATTCCACGCAAGCAGGATACTGGGTGGACCCGGGATATAAGGAGTGTACCGTGAAGGTGGATTAGCCCCAAGTCTTAAATAAATAACCACGCGCGTCGGTATTTTCTTAATGGTACAGTTCAACCTGTGCTAGCGGACACCTCTATAGAACGGACGCCTGCATGTCTATGAAAGGCATATTTGGGGTTCCATTGAGGCGCAGTTAATTATACAGTAAAATCACGACGACAGAACAGACACCAGTTCATAAATAACACTTTGAGCCCCCTCCCAGCACACACAAGGTTTAAGCAAGGTACATAGAATATTTCATACAGGTTAGGCAACCACGTTGACCTGCAGGCAAGAACATTGTGTGGCATATATAAATGTCTGTTCCTGCGCGGGGCATTTGTCGCATATGGCCATATGGCATTGCCTGCCTCTGTCACGCAGTTACATATGATTACCTTGTAGGATATTGTTAATGTTATCTAGATATAAGAAACCGCGACCCGTACAGCGATCTTCAAACATAGTTTCGTGCCATACAAACGTGCCGTTAATGTGTATAGTTGTCCAACCTAACCAATCGGTGTTGCGATGGGACGTTCTAAAGACCATGCTTTGCAATAATGTGACGCAAAGTCGACATTTTGGCGCACTCAGGTAAAAGGCATATGAACTGGCCTAATTTGTCAGACCTAGCAACGCTATCCATTCGTTGTGAGGTTATCTCGCACAAGCGGTTATAGGTCAATATAGGAAATATTTGACGTTGGTAGCATCAAGGGATACTGTACGTAAAGACAGCTATATGCGCTAATCTATGTCCGCATTAAGACGAGCGTTCTATATTCAAAGTATATTTTGTGATTACTATGCTGACGGTATATGCGCGCATCACATTTCATCTCATGTAGGCCAGCAACGAATTAGTTTACTGACGAGCATAGAAACTCAAATCACCGATGACCCGAAATCGTTATGATCCGGAAGAGGGCGTGCATGTTCTCTGCTCATCTGTGACCGTTCATACGCATATTCACCTATATACACTGTATATATATATACAGGCACGCACGGACGGCCAGATGCACGCACGCACGCACGCACGCACGCACGCACGCACGCACG